TCCCTTCATGTCAGGGCATGTTAGCACATGCTGGTTGTTTAGTGCTGCTGCTTTCCTAAATGTTGCCTCAGTCATATTTTTGAGCCCATGGTAAGAGGAGCTACACATTTAGTCATTCTTTTGAACCCACAGTTAGAGGAGCTACACATTTGATCTGTAAAGACAGTGTGCATGCAGCATACATAGCTGCTTGAATATGGAAGAAAATATTATACCAAAAGGGACAGACAGACAGTCATGTATTCTCCAGTGTGGTAGTCTGTGTAATGAAGCCACAGATACCATTAAGTCAACCCAGAGATGGGAAAACATAAAACACAGGGCACTGTTATGGAGTGGCCTTGACAAGTTTGGACATGTCTATACAACTGTCGATTGGGATAAAGGTCCGGTGGGGCGAGGCGAGAGATATAATCCCTCCACCTGGTCCTGGGCCGGCCACAAGGTCTCTTCCCGGTGGGAAGAGTCTGGAACACCTCTAACGGGAGGCGTCCAGAAGGCATCCTAACCAGATGCCTGAGCCACCTCAGCTGACTCCTCTCAACGTGGAGGTGCAGCGGTTCTACTCTGAGCACCTCCCAAGTGTCCGAGCTCCTTACCCTATCTCTAAGGCTGAGCTCGGCTGCCCTGCAAAGGAAACCCATTTCGGCCGCTTGTATTCGCGATCCTGTTCTTTCGATCATTACCCACAGTTCATGGCCATAGGTGAGGGTCGGCACGTAGATCGACCGGTAAATCAAGAGTTTTGCCTCACGGCTCAGCTCTTTCTTCACCACATCGTCACTTAAGTTACTGTTTTAAAATATACTTCAATCGATTTAGTAAATTATATGAAAGCTCTTTCAGTTACAACTACTCTGCAGAGTTATGTGGAACCACTTGACACAACAATTTTAAGTAAATCCAACAGATTTCTTTTTAACACATGCTCACTGTCAGCCTATCCCTGTTCTGCTCTCATTTTAAAAATGAATGTCTTCTCTACCTCTAGTTCATTCTCGCCAATGGTTTGTGCTCAGCACCCTCCACTTCCCCATCTCCACCCGATCTCAGCAGAATCAACAGTGCCTTCATTCATCCATCCGGTCTGAGCAATCACCAGCCGCCACCACCATCAGCTTCAGGACTCAATTTGGGGATTTTCCCATTGAGTCTGACCAGCTGACCAGCTGCGCTCCGCCTGCGCTGAAAGCTGACCAGGTTTGAATTGGCAAGCTGTCAGCGCACTTTCCACGCCGCCGGTGAGCACAAAAATGTCACTGCACCAACTGATTCTGTTCGACAAGTCCCCCTACCATGCCCAGCTTGGCAGACCTCGGTGCGCCTCAGTCCCCAAAATACCAAACTGGCTGTGCGCCGGGCTCCACCAGACAAAAATACAACTGCGCAGGGTGTGCCATCCTCCGCCGCACCGCCGGCAGGCAAGAAAATAGAGCCCCTAGAGTCACTTGACACCAGAAGCACCAGTTGCTCTCCACATAGATTTTTTTGCTAGTAATGTTTATGCCTTGTCTGTCTTCCTGTAAGAGTGCCTTGATTTTAACTGAGCTTGTTGGTTTTATCTCCCTGTGCTGAAGCTCTTGTGCTTTGTTGTCCTGACTGTTAACTTCTGTTTTTAAAAGTGCTATACAAATTAACTTATTATTATTATTTACAGTTTGATTATACACACTAGCATTATAATGAGTTATGATGTCAGTCAAAGCATTATAAATAGCCACAAGTGCTTTTGATTATACAGTTGATGGGGTATGTAAAAAATGAGTGTTAATGCATTATAGAGAAGCTTCAGAGAAAGTAATCGTCAAAGGAATAGGGAGCAGGCTTGCCGATGGCAGACAAATAATACTTAGTATATAATGCATTACATAAGCTGCGTTTCCATTACATTTTTTCGCAAAATAAAAGCGATGTTTATCAAATTTCAACAAAGTATAATTGCGATTTGCGGGTGTTTCCATTGAATGGTGTTCAGTGCATAAGCGAGCCGTCTGCCTCTCGCGAGCCGTGTTTAAATGGCCGTTGCCTAGCAACGAGGTAAACTTCCTGCCCGTGCGACCTCGTATTCCTTAAGCCTTTTTGCACACCAACATGGACGAGACACAAAACATTTTTCGTTTTGGAGCAGCTATTTCTGTGACCATTACTGCAGTTGCCGCTGCTGTCATCAGAGGACGAAGGCAGCGGATGATAATTCAAAGGCAAAGCTCGTATGTATGGGAGCGAACACGGATGAGCGATTTCTGGGAGAGGATCGTTAATGAGGAATTCACAGACGAATTGTGGATTCAAAACTTAAGAAAAAAATACAAATACAATTCAAAACTTCAGAAATAAGTCCGTCTCCTCCCCCGTCCACATAAACCGTGCCATCTACGCTTGAAATGAACTGGTCACTTGACCCGCTACGTCACGTCCGGTGACAGAGAATTGCGAGAAAAGTGTTTCCATTACACTTTTGCGATATACTTCTATATCGACACTTCTGAAAAACCACCTCATGAGAGCGTAAAAACTTTTTAGCGATATTTGGGAGGTTTTTCGAAATGTAGGTGTTTCCATTACCAGTTTTCTATTGCGATATTTACGTTTTGCGCAAATCTATGGGTAATGGAAACGCAGCTATAGTTGCTTTCAGCATTTGACACAACACAAAAAAATAACAAATAGGGAATAAAATTGCTGAACTTATTAGTCCTTTTTTTTAATTAAATGAGTTTTAGGGGTGGCTCAGTTCAATATCCGCACGTGGTACTTTCAGATTTTTGCCTGGTTATCAAGAATTTATCAAGAAAGAAAAAAAAATACACAGCAAATATTAGGTTATTATAAAAATGCCACTTGAAAACAGAGAAGTGCACACACTGGAACAAAGACAAGACATTTTTACCCTTTAGCAGGCCTGAGTGACAACAATGAGTAACCTCTCACAGCTAGACAAAAAACTGAGGCAGTGACTTGGTTTGCCTTGTTGGGGAATACAGATTGCTCTACCCTGCTCTGCCCTCAGGACCAACACTGCGGTGATGGACAATTAAAGTTTGATTACGTTGGTTCAGAGCTGGGCTGTCTGTGCTGGCCTGAAGAGAGCTGCCCAGAACCCCAGAGAGGAGGAGAGGTGTGCAGCAGCAGATGATTCTTCTTACATCACACTGACGCACACAAACATGCAGACACTAGGGCATGCATATAGATTCACCACCAGAGCTTGGTATGTTATTAAGAGCTGCAGGGTAAAGGTCCTCCTCTCAGAATCACAATCCTACTTTCTCTCTCTCTCTCTCTCTCTCTCTCTCTCTCTCTCTCTCTCTCTCTCTCTCTCTCTCTCTCTCTTCTACAGTGACCACAGACAAACATTCAGCTTCAAGTTTACACAAAACAATGGACTTTAAATTCGCATTACATCTAAATGGATATTCACTTAAGTGTTTGCTTTTTAAGTGGGGTTGTACAGGTTTACAGAACAGAAAGAAGATGAAGGAGAAACTTCTGTGCTCTCTGGAGAGCAGGAGAGATCTCAAACTTGCTGGTGGTGTAGGTGGGCAAATGAAAACATCTTGCTCTCATGAGTGGGACTAAGTAACAACAGGACTTCAGGACTTCTCTGAATCAGAGGGTACCAGATGTTTGCAGACTGAATCATCCCCCATCTAGTTTCCTGCTCTACTGAACACCAAACTTTGTTTTGTTTCCAGACTTTGTTCACTTTTCACAGATTTAATCAGAAAAACATAAAAACCAAGTGGGAGTGCCTCTCTGTTTTTTTTGTTTTTTTTTTGCAACCTGTGGTGTGCATCATGATCACTTTATCAAAAATCACTGGCCATTATTTATCAATCTTGCGTAGAGCTGCGCGCAGATCAGATACAGTAAATCTTTCCTGCCACAAGCTATTGCACTCTATCTATCTATCTATCTATCTATCTATCTATCTATCTATCTATCTATCTATCTATCTATCTCCATCTATTTGTATCCGACCAATCCCAGCGTACGATGGATCGGGTCTTGATAAAAGCGGCAGCTAAACTTCATCGTCATTAACATGTCGCACCCTTAAATATTAGTGGTTCAGAAGCCTCATCCACTGAGGTCAAACATGAGAGAGGAAAAATATTAGAGAGAAGCAAAACTTTTCTGAGCTGAGAGTGGATATCCTTATTTTCGAGGTGGAGACTAACAAAGATGTGCTCTTTGGAAGCATCGAAGCTGGTATAAAAGCAGTCCAGTCAAACCCTTTCTGGAGCTGGAGCAGGATTACGGTGGCGGTGAAGAGTGAATTATTCAGACAGCGGCTGAAGTATGAATTAATCATTAGTCAATAAGTAGCCCATGATAATAAATTGATATCTCATCCATGCCTCGTTTTTTTTTTTGACATAGTTGCTCCTATTATTAAAAGTATTTTAGTCTTAATTAGTCACTTATTTATAATGTAGAGTGAACTGGAGACAGATGAATAACAAAAGTAATTATTGACGTAAAAAAATGATGTGTTGCTGCCCTGAGACGCAGCAGCATGCAGACTGGAGGCAGCCAATCAGACCCAAGCCTGACCATGTTTAGCAGTGATCGGATCAGAGTCCATCATCAGTACAGCCCTCAGGTCTTCAGGTAGTGGTCTTTTAATGGCAAACTCAAGACCTTCCTCTTTAGTCTGGCTTTTAGCTGATTTTTGTTTTATTCATCTAGCCTCTCTTTTAGTCTACTCTTTGTAGTATTTTTAGTATATTTTATTTTTATTTCTATTTTTTAGTATACTTTAACACTATTTGTTTATTTTCTTTTATTGTTTGATTTTAAAACAGTTTTATTATATAAAATTTTATTATTATTATTATTATTATTATTATCATTTTATTTCCTTTTATTTTTTATATCTTGTCATGGTTTTATCAGTTTAGCTTCAGCTCCAGTGTTTCCCCATTTTAGTTTAAGATAGCGGTTCCTTGGTCCTCTGTGCCTTCCTATTGAGCCCTGACTTGGTGTCCCGCTGGTCATGTGTGTGTGTGTGTGTGTGTGTGTGTGTGTGTGTGTGTGTGTGTGTGTCTTTGTCACATGGTGGGAACCACCTGCAGACAGCACAGTCACATCGTGGAAACCAAAATCTTAGTGGGAACCAAAATGCTTGTCCCCACCAGGGTGAGCACTGAATCCATGGAAAAGAAGGCCACAGGGATGCCCTGTCAACTTTTCAGGGGTTTCCCCACAATGCATGAAAAACCGGTTTTGTGTGCTTAAGTGTGCTTAGCTTGGTTAACTCAGTACTGCCACCTACTGGTAGGATCTCATGAGTAAGACACACACACTTTATACACACTTGGCACATCTGCGCATGTGCAAGCAGCTCAGTCTGCTAATTAAGTATGCTAATCAGCCACTAGCTTTCTGCTGACAGGTGGAATTTTAACACTTTTCCTGGATGCGCTAATAGAGGAGGTAACTACACGGAGACATTTTTCGGCATTTGACAGCTCTGTTTTCAGCTGAAGACGTGGCGGAGTGGCTCTAACAGAAAGGTAAATACTTCCATGATGACTTTAAAATTTATTTCAGTGAGACAGTTTGATTTTTTGATATTTTTGTACTGTTAAAAGCCCACATTTAATAACCGATATGTCAAACTTGATGATTTCTCACAATAACAGGGGTAGTTGTGTTTTAAAAAAGACAAACAGCAGCTTCAACAGGTTGCATTTGGTCATAGAGCAAAATCCTAAGGGTTGCGGTAGAGCCACTGACGCTAGCCGAGCGGCTAGCGCTAGCTAATAGGCTAATACACGAGTCTGGGGCAGCAGTGCACGTGTCAGGTGAGATGCGCATGTGCTGCGCTGAACAGCAGTGCTGTGATGGCCGCTGTGAGTTGACCGTGACTGACCGTGACTAACCGTGACTACTGTGAGTATCCTGTTTAGTTTGACTTTAGTTTCCTCTTGTTTAGAGCATCATGTAACTACTCAGAAGCTGAAAATTCAGCACAGATGGCAGTAGGGACAGGGGATACATAGAGCAAAAGCTTTAGAGTTGAGATTAAGCTACCGACATTAGCCGAGCGGCTAGCGCTAGCTAATAGGCTAACACACGAGTCTGGGCCAGCTGTGCGTCACGCTACGTGAGCTGCGCGCGTGCACGTGACGTGCACGTGAAATGCGCTGAACAGATGTGCTGTGAGCTGACCATGACTGCTGTGAGTATCCTGTTTAGTTTGACTTTAGTTTGCTCTTGTTTAGAGCATCATGCATCTAACCAGAAGCTGAAAATTCAGCGCAGATGGCAGTAGAGACAGGTGATACATAGAGCAAAATCTTGAGAGTTGAGAGAGAGCTACCTGACGTTAGCAGAGCAGCTAGCGCCAGCTAATTGAGCGTATATGACCATAACAACATGTTGGCAGAGCTAAATATTGCCATTCATGAGTTTCCACCCATAACAAATTCGTTAATATAATGTAAACACATATGTATAAAATATGTGCAAGCCCTTTATTTTGCACAATACATTCATTATTAGCATTTATAGTTGTAATTCAGTCGATAAAGTACTTATTTTATATAGCCTGATTTGGTATTGTGTGGTGGAAGAGAGATGGGGTATTGTTTAAGGTCCAGAATGCTGCTATTTTTTTCCCAACTTAGATTTGAGAATGTTGAATGGTTAATTTTCTGACTGAATTACCTTGAGTTTAAAATCAGAAGTGCTATCCTCACACATTATGTGGTATATATTTGGCTGTCTAACATAACCCAAGACATGTTTATCAAATGTAAAATTTATTGGGATATCTTGTAATATTATAATTGTTTTGTGATTACTGACAGGATTTCCAATGGCTGCGAGGAGGAGGAGGGGGAAACCTCCATTACAGGATGCTATAGAAAATGCTATCAAGGCACAGGACAAGATAGCAGAATTAGAAGTGAAGTACATCAATTCCTTTAAAGGTACTCTGTTTGTGTTGTTCTTTCAGAGTCTAAAATTAGAACCAGCCACCTGCAATAGGCAGGTAGATGATCACTTGTGTAAAACAAACTCTTTTTGTCTTGCGGTATGAATCCAGCATACCTTAATGTGGTGCGCTTGCACCCCTCCTATCTGTGGTCAGTGTTTCTGACTGGCAGCCTAGCATGACTTCATCAGACTGAATTATCGCTGATATTTGCTGAGCTAAAATTGTCTTCATGTCAGGTCCAAGACAATGAATTGACAGTTTGCATTGTCTATATGTAATAATGTAATGTGTTTGAACAGGTCGAGGGGTGTTTGCCAGAACCCATTTTAGTAAAGGCGACTTTGTGGTGGAGTACAGAGGACAACTAATAACATCTGATGAATCAGCAAGGAGGAGGAGGACCTATCACAGATCATGTGCCGTTTTCATGTTTGATTTCCGCTGGAAAGAAAAGACATGGTGGTAAGGCTTTGATTGATTATGACATTTCTGCACAGTTGAGTTTTTTCAATGCACAAACAAATTTGATAATATATATATATTTTAAATTAGCATCTACAACCATTAGTAATTAGAGTAATGGCAAATTATATCAGGTAATTAAATTACTATTTAAATATTATCAAGCATAATCAGTCATTTTGTTATTTTGTGAAGTATTGATGCATCTCAAGAAGATGACAGCCTTGGACGATTAGTCAATGATGACAACAGACATCCCAACTGCAAAATGAAGAAGATCGTAGCAGAGGGCAAACCCTACCTCTGTTTATTTGCTCTGAGGGACATTCATCCAGGAGAAGAAATCGTATATAACTATGGTGACAGTGATTGGCCATGGAGGAAGCAGGTTTGTAATAAATGTTGGTCAGTAATCGAGTGAAGAAAGTCTAAAGGTGTGTTCACCTGCGACTACGACAAGTTGCAATCCCACAATTCCGATGATTTTCACACGTTTTCTTCTCTGCAAATCGCCAAAACGTCTGACCTGCATCAGGCCTCTGTGGATGACGTTTGCAGAAAAAAAGAGTGTGAAAATCAATGAAGTATTCAGTGAATTATGATTGATTTAATGCTCTGAGACTTGATTGTCCCGTCAAACAGTGGTAAATGGGGCGTACACCTCACCAAGACGGCGGCCGTATTTGACGCTCTGCTGCTCCCCATGCTGCGTCTAGCTTACATATGTCTATGACCAGCACGAGGGAATTGTGGGAATGCAGCTTGTCGTAGTCGCAGAGTGGCATCTGCTGTGAACACACCTTCATGATTGCAAATAATGACTTTTTGTCAACTCTTAACAGCCACTGCAGTGTTACAGCAGGATACATACATGTCACATCAACAATAGCAAAGTTGTACCTTTGCAAAAAAAAAAAAAAAGCAAGAAGCATAGAAATATTGAAATGTTCACAAGTTTCTTCACTTTTCCTTAGGCTTTTTCTCATGGTTTAGTGTGATAAATGTGTTGTTGATGAGCTTCACATTAATTTTGAATCCTTATTTCAGACATGTGCTGAGATGTCCTCTGACACCGAAGTCTCCAGAACAGCAGAGAAGACTGCAGAGAGACAACTGTCCACCACCATGCAGGTAAGAATCAACTGTATTTTTAACTTTGAATAAGATGTTAATGGTGTCACAATTTAGATTTTTTATTGAAATCAATCAAATCGATGTCATGGTCTCGAAAATCAAAATCAAAGAGAGACTCGGTAATCCTGAAGCAAATGATGAAAGCACACATTGTACCCCAATTTCTTGTATGTAACACACATTTTCTCCCCTAAAATAAGGTCTAATGTTAAGGTCTAGAGAAGAATGGCAAAGTGACAAACCACTTAGTTTTTTATGTTTAACTGTGAGGATATTGTTTCTTAAGGTTCTAATTGTTCCATTATTTTGGACATGACTGTTACAATTATTTAGTTCTCATGTTGAGTAGTTCTGTAACCAAAAAGAGTCACTAGATGGCAGCACCCCCTGTGAGTTCTCATTCTTGTTGTTTTCACTTAAACAAGATTGTTATTTAAATTATTTAAAACTGACCAATAGTGCCTGATGTGATAAAAACGTACACAAGAATGATGGAAATTGCATCACTTGTATGTAGCTCATCTATTGAGAGATGATTTACTGTACAAATGTAATGAATCAAACAAACGATTGTAGACTAGACTATTCCAAAAAAAGCAAAGGCCTCTGTGCTGTAAAGTAAGAAAAAGAATTGAAAATCGAATTGGATCGAGGAGTTGTTAAATCGTGACACCCCCTACAGGTCGTTCCATGTTTCTTTTTTGGTCAAAGATGTGCAAAGTTGACTCTTGTGTATACAGTTTGGTTTAGTTAAGGTCAGTGCTACTCTGATGTTAAATATGTTGCCAAGCACAGTCAGGCTTCCTGATTGAATGGGGACCGTCCAATCATATACTATAGCTGCTATGTTACACACTTGTCAGGTGCCTTATTTGTGGGGACCACGTTAGCTAAGAAATACTCTGCATATTCACTGACACTGACATGACTTTTTCATGTATTAAGTTAACAAAACACCAAGTAATACACGCGGCCTGTAACATAGGCTAAGTTTGCGCTCTACAATTCACATCAGTCCTTGGCCACAGGTCAGTTCAACCCTGTCATGCTTAATATTCACTTGTTTTCAGCTGTAAAAGTCACTGCAGGGTTAAAGCAGGATACATACATGTCACATCTGTCATAGCCATGTTGTACCTATGAGAACCTTTGCAAAAAAAAAAAAAAGCAAGAAGCATAGAAATATTGAAAGGTTCACAAGTTTCTTCACTTTTCCTTAGGCTTTTTCTCATGGTTTGGTGTGATAAATGTGTTGTTGATGAGCTTCACATTAATTTTGAATCCTTATTTCAGTCATGTGCTGAGATGTCCTCTGACACCGAAGTCTCCAGAACAGCAGAGAAGACTGCAGAGAGACAACCGTCCACCACCATGCAGGTAAGAATCAATTGTATTGCAATATGTTTTTTCTTTTTTAATCCAATATTTGTAAAGTTGACTCTTGTGACGAGTTTGGTTTAGTTAAGATCAGTGCTACTCTGACGTTAAATGTGTTGCTTATAGTCTGGTTTTCGTGATAAAGTGGGGACCACCCAATCATATACTATGGCTGCTGTGTTACACACTTGTCAGGTGCCTTATTTGTGGGGACCACGTTAGCTAAGAAATACTCTGCATATTCACTGACACTGACATGACTTTTTCATGTATTAAGTTAACAAAACACCAAGTAATACACGCGGCCTGTAACATAGTCTAAGTTTGCTCTGTACAATTCACATCAGTCCTTGGCCACAGGTCAGTTCAACCCTGTCATCCTTAATATTCACTTGTTTTCAGCTGTAAAAGTCACTGCAGGGTTATAGCAGGATACATACATGTCACATCTGTCATAGCCATGTTGTACCTATGAGAAACATAAGATTTGGAGCCAGATGCATAGAAATATTGAAAGGTTGACAAGTTTCTTCACTTTTCTTTTGGCTTTTTCTCATGGTTAAGTGTGATAAATGTGTTGTTGATGAGCTTCAAATTAATTTTGAATCCTTATTTCAGTCATGTGCTGAGATGTCCTCTGACACCGAAGTCTCCAGAACAGCAGAGAAGACTGCAGAGAGACAACCGTCCACCACCATGCAGGTAAGAATCAATTGTATTGCAATATGTTTTTTCTTTTTTAATCCAATATTTGTAAAGTTGACTCTTGTGACGAGTTTGGTTTAGTTAAGATCAGTGCTACTCTGATGTTAAATATGTTGCCAAGCATAGTCTGGTTTTCGTGATAAAGTGGGGACCACCCAATCATATACTATGGCTGCTGTGTTACACACTTGTCAGGTGCCTTATTTGTGGGGACCACGTTAGCTAAGAAATACTCTGCATATTCACTGACACTGACATGACTTTTTCATGTATTAAGTTAACAAAACACCAAGTAATACACGCGGCCTGTAACATAGTCTAAGTTTGCTCTGTACAATTCACATCAGTCCTTGGCCACAGGTCAGTTCAACCCTGTCATCCTTAATATTCACTTGTTTTCAGCTGTAAAAGTCACTGCAGGGTTATAGCAGGATACATACATGTCACATCTGTCATAGCCATGTTGTACCTATGAGAAACATAAGATTTGGAGCCAGATGCATAGAAATATTGAAAGGTTGACAAGTTTCTTCACTTTTCTTTTGGCTTTTTCTCATGGTTTAGTGTGATAAATGTGTTGTTGATGAGCTTCACATTAATTTTGAATCCTTATTTCAGTCATGTGCTGAGATGTCCTCTGACACCGAAGTCTCCAGAACAGCAGAGAAGACTGCAGAGAGACAACCGTCCACCACCATGCAGGTAAGAATCAATTGTATTGCAATATGTTTTTTCTTTTTTAATCCAATATTTGTAAAGTTGACTCTTGTGACGAGTTTGGTTTAGTTAAGATCAGTGCTACTCTGATGTTAAATATGTTGCCAAGCATAGTCTGGTTTTCGTGATAAAGTGGGGACCACCCAATCATATACTATGGCTGCTGTGTTACACACCTGTCAGGTGCCTTATTTGTGGGGACCACGTTAGCTAAGAAATACTCTGCATATTCACTGACACTGACATGACTTTTTCATGTATTAAGTTAACAAAACACCAAGTAATACACGCGGCCTGTAACATAGTCTAAGTTTGCTCTGTACAATTCACATCAGTCCTTGGCCACAGGTCAGTTCAACCCTGTCATCCTTAATATTCACTTGTTTTCAGCTGTAAAAGTCACTGCAGGGTTATAGCAGGATACATACATGTCACATCTGTCATAGCCATGTTGTACCTATGAGAAACATAAGATTTGGAGCCAGATGCATAGAAATATTGAAAGGTTCACAAGTTTCTTCACTTTTCTTTTGGCTTTTTCTCATGGTTTGGTGTGATAAATGTGTTGTTGATGAGCTTCACATTAATTTTGAATCCTTATTTCAGTCATGTGCTGAGATGTCCTCTGACACCGAAGTCTCCAGAACAGCAGAGAAGACTGCAGAGAGACAACCGTCCACCACCATGCAGGTAAGAATCAATCGTATTGCAATATGTTTTTTCTTTTTTAATCCAATATTTGTAAAGTTGACTCTTGTGACGAGTTTGGTTTAGTTAAGATCAGTGCTACTCTGATGTTAAATATGTTGCCAAGCATAGTCTGGTTTTCGTGATAAAGTGGGGACCACCCAATCATATACTATGGCTGCTGTGTTACACACTTGTCAGGTGCCTTATTTGTGGGGACCACGTTAGCTAAGAAATACTCTGCATATTCACTGACACTGACATGACTTTTTCATGTATTAAGTTAACAAAACACCAAGTAATACACGCGGCCTGTAACATAGTCTAAGTTTGCTCTGTACAATTCACATCAGTCCTTGGCCACAGGTCAGTTCAACCCTGTCATCCTTAATATTCACTTGTTTTCAGCTGTAAAAGTCACTGCAGGGTTATAGCAGGATACATACATGTCACATCTGTCATAGCCATGTTGTACCTATGAGAAACATAAGATTTGGAGCCAGATGCATAGAAATATTGAAAGGTTGACAAGTTTCTTCACTTTTCTTTTGGCTTTTTCTCATGGTTTAGTGTGATAAATGTGTTGTTGATGAGCTTCACATTAATTTTGAATCCTTATTTCAGTCATGTGCTGAGATGTCCTCTGACACCGAAGTCTCCAGAACAGCAGAGAAGACTGCAGAGAGACAACCGTCCACCACCATGCAGGTAAGAATCAATCGTATTGCAATATGTTTTTTCTTTTTTAATCCAATATTTGTAAAGTTGACTCTTGTGACGAGTTTGGTTTAGTTAAGATCAGTGCTACTCTGATGTTAAATATGTTGCCAAGCATAGTCTGGTTTTCGTGATAAAGTGGGGACCACCCAATCATATACTATGGCTGCTGTGTTACACACCTGTCAGGTGCCTTATTTGTGGGGACCACGTTAGCTAAGAAATACTCTGCATATTCACTGACACTGACATGACTTTTTCATGTATTAAGTTAACAAAACACCAAGTAATACACGCGGCCTGTAACATAGTCTAAGTTTGCTCTGTACAATTCACATCAGTCCTTGGCCACAGGTCAGTTCAACCCTGTCATCCTTAATATTCACTTGTTTTCAGCTGTAAAAGTCACTGCAGGGTTATAGCAGGATACATACATGTCACATCTGTCATAGCCATGTTGTACCTATGAGAAACATAAGATTTGGAGCCAGATGCATAGAAATATTGAAAGGTTCACAAGTTTCTTCACTTTTCTTTTGGCTTTTTCTCATGGTTTGGTGTGATAAATGTGTTGTTGATGAGCTTCACATTAATTTTGAATCCTTATTTCAGTCATGTGCTGAGATGTCCTCTGACACCGAAGTCTCCAGAACAGCAGAGAAGACTGCAGAGAGACAACCGTCCACCACCATGCAGGTAAGAATCAATCGTATTGCAATATGTTTTTTCTTTTTTAATCCAATATTTGTAAAGTTGACTCTTGTGACGAGTTTGGTTTAGTTAAGATCAGTGCTACTCTGATGTTAAATATGTTGCCAAGCATAGTCTGGTTTTCGTGATAAAGTGGGGACCACCCAATCATATACTATGGCTGCTGTGTTACACACTTGTCAGGTGCCTTATTTGTGGGGACCACGTTAGCTAAGAAATACTCTGCATATTCACTGACACTGACATGACTTTTTCATGTATTAAGTTAACAAAACACCAAGTAATACACGCGGCCTGTAACATAGTCTAAGTTTGCTCTGTACAATTCACATCAGTCCTTGGCCACAGGTCAGTTCAACCCTGTCATCCTTAATATTCACTTGTTTTCAGCTGTAAAAGTCACTGCAGGGTTATAGCAGGATACATACATGTCACATCTGTCATAGCCATGTTGTACCTATGAGAAACATAAGATTTGGAGCCAGATGCATAGAAATATTGAAAGGTTGACAAGTTTCTTCACTTTTCTTTTGGCTTTTTCTCATGGTTTGGTGTGATAAATGTGTTGTTGATGAGCTTCACATTAATTTTGAATCCTTATTTCAGTCATGTGCTGAGATGTCCTCTGACACCGAAGTCTCCAGAACAGCAGAGAAGACTGCAGAGAGACAACCGTCCACCACCATGCAGGTAAGAATCAATCGTATTGCAATATGTTTTTTCTTTTTTGATAAATGTGTTGTTGATGAGCTTCACATTAATTTTGAATCCTTATTTCAGTCATGTGCTGAGATGTCCTCTGACACCGAAGTCTCCAGAACAGCAGAGAAGACTGCAGAGAGACAACCGTCCACCACCATGCAGGTAAGAATCAATCGTATTGCAATATGTTTTTTCTTTTTTAATCCAATATTTGTAAAGTTGACTCTTGTGACGAGTTTGGTTTAGTTAAGATCAGTGCTACTCTGATGTTAAATATGTTGCCAAGCATAGTCTGGTTTTCGTGATAAAGTGGGGACCACCCAATCATATACTATGGCTGCTGTGTTACACACCTGTCAGGTGCCTTATTTGTGGGGACCACGTTAGCTAAGAAATACTCTGCATATTCACTGACACTGACATGACTTTTTCATGTATTAAGTTAACAAAACACCAAGTAATACACGCGGCCTGTAACATAGTCTAAGTTTGCTCTGTACAATTCACATCAGTCCTTGGCCACAGGTCAGTTCAACCCTGTCATCCTTAATATTCACTTGTTTTCAGCTGTAAAAGTCACTGCAGGGTTATAGCAGGATACATACATGTCACATCTGTCATAGCCATGTTGTACCTATGAGAAACATAAGATTTGGAGCCAGATGCATAGAAATATTGAAAGGTTCACAAGTTTCTTCACTTTTCTTTTGGCTTTTTCTCATGGTTTGGTGTGATAAATGTGTTGTTGATGAGCTTCACATTAATTTTGAATCCTTATTTCAGTCATGTGCTGAGATGTCCTCTGACACCGAAGTCTCCAGAACAGCAGAGAAGACTGCAGAGAGACAACCGTCCACCACCATGCAGGTAAGAATCAATCGTATTGCAATATGTTTTTTCTTTTTTAATCCAATATTTGTAAAGTTGACTCTTGTGACGAGTTTGGTTTAGTTAAGATCAGTGCTACTCTGATGTTAAATATGTTGCCAAGCATAGTCTGGTTTTCGTGATAAAGTGGGGACCACCCAATCATATACTATGGCTGCTGTGTTACACACTTGTCAGGTGCCTTATTTGTGGGGACCACGTTAGCTAAGAAATACTCTGCATATTCACTGACACTGACATGACTTTTTCATGTATTAAGTTAACAAAACACCAAGTAATACACGCGGCCTGTAACATAGTCTAAGTTTGCTCTGTACAATTCACATCAGTCCTTGGCCACAGGTCAGTTCAACCCTGTCATCCTTAATATTCACTTGTTTTCAGCTGTAAAAGTCACTGCAGGGTTATAGCAGGATACATACATGTCACATCTGTCATAGCCATGTTGTACCTATGAGAAACATAAGATTTGGAGCCAGATGCATAGAAATATTGAAAGGTTGACAAGTTTCTTCACTTTTCTTTTGGCTTTTTCTCATGGTTTAGTGTGATAAATGTGTTGTTGATGAGCTTCAAATTAATTTTGAATCCTTATTTCAGTCATGTGCTGAGATGTCCTCTGACACCGAAGTCTCCAGAACAGCAGAGAAGACTGCAGAGAGACAACCGTCCACCACCATGCAGGTAAGAATCAATTGTATTGCAATATGTTTTTTCTTTTTTAATCCAATATTTGTAAAGTTGACTCTTGTGACGAGTTTGGTTTAGTTAAGATCAGTGCTACTCTGATGTTAAATATGTTGCCAAGCATAGTCTGGTTTTCGTGATAAAGTGGGGACCACCCAGTCATGAACTATGGCAGTTGTTCTACACAGCAGGTGTCAGGTGTCTTAATTTTTGGAGGCACGTCAGCTAATCATACTGTACACATTTACTGACACTGACACTACTTTTTCACGCATTATCCCAACAAAAATCCATGTCTTCATGATAAATTTGTAGGCAGCATATTTTTGATAAATCTCAACCATCTTGAACCTTGAAAGTAGTAACCCCAGATGTCCACTGGATGTGTAAAGCTGTTGTAGCAGTCTTTAAGAAAAGTCACTTTTTGCCCTGTAGGACTTGGATGAATCAGACTCTGATCATTCAGCAAACAGAACTGGAATCATCCCTTGCCTTGTTGACTACACCGATTCTGAAGAATCTCCCAGTCCACACACCAGCCCTTTACAGCTAAATGAAAGCTGCGAGGTACTTTGATGTTGATATTGTACTGGCAGGCATTAGACAAATTTGATTGCTACAAACAGTTTTTTACTTTTTTATTTTTTTTACATCATAGACATGGAGTCTGTCCTCTGAGTCTGAACTTACCGTCACTGACCAAGACAAAGAGCCTGTTCCAAAATTGAGGAGGACCAGGAGCATACAGGTGTGCAACACACACAATGGAGGGAAATGTTGATACATATATTTAACATTTTTAAAGCTAAAGTATTTCCTTTATGAAATGTGTATGCCAGATGCTTAAGTGGCATGTTGCCTGAAACTGAATTTACCTTTTTTTTCTCTTAACTTGCTCCTGAAGATGAAAGGTCGAGTTGACTTCGATTTGGATGAGCTTTATGATCACACCTCAGATGACAGTGGAGAAGAGTATATTCCTGAGAGCGGTGAAGATTCTTCTGAAGATTCAGACCCTTGCAACATTAAGACTGACCAGAAAATAACAAAGCTCAGATTTCCAAACTTCGAGAAGACGGCAGATGTCAGAGATGGATGTCTCCCAATGACAGAACCTATCCATGCCACTTTGAATCTGGAGAGAGGGCGCTCATCCTCAAGAAAAGAAGGCACCTCTGGTACAAGGCAAAGAAGAAGATGTTCAAGCAGTGTGCCTTGCCCAGCAACACAAACAGGTACTGGCAACTTATCAGAACAGAGTGGAGGGGGCAACTCTAGACATAGAGTCCTGTTGGATACTTCTGCACCTGATCTGGAGCAAAATCTACCTGACAGCACCTCTTCCCTGGGTGGAGTGACTGATGATTTACCTTCCATACCTGCTGTTTGTAAGAAAGAGGATGGATCAAGATTGTATAACAAAAAGCAATACTGTCTGTACTGTAAATTAGGGGTTATAAAAATGGCAAGGCATTTGGAGCGTGCTCATCAAGACATACCAGATGTTGCAAGGGCTGTGTCCTTCCCAAAAGGCTCAAAAGAAAGACGGATGCATATGGAACTCTTGAGAAACAAGGGAAACTTTGCACATAATGTTGAAGTATTGAATTCTGGTGTTGGAATTCCTGTTCCACGCAAGCAACCGAAGGATGAATCTCAAGTGCAGAAGTTTCTGCATTGTGCATATTGTCAGGGCTTCTATACAAAGAAAGTCCTTTGGAGGCACATGAAGATCTGCAAATTCAAACCTAGTATTCCACTTAAACCTGGCAGAACACGTGTCCAAGCGCTTTGCGGATTTGCTGCGCCTCCACCACCTGGAATGAAGGAACAACTTTGGAAGCTCCTGAACAAAATGGTTCAGGACGAAGTGTACTTTGCTGTCAAATCTGATCCATGTATCATGGAGTATGGTGAACATTTATTCAACAGGCTTGGGTATGATCCTGGCAAACATGAATACATTCGCCAGAAATTGAGAGAGTTGGGACGGCTTCTCATATGCTCAAGAAAAAACACTCCCTTGAAGATGATTCAAGATCACATCAAGCCTGCAAATTTCATGTATGTTATCGAGGCAGTGAAAGACATTGCAGGCTACAATGGTGAAACAGATGCATACAGGTGCCCCAGTCTGGCTCTCAAAGTTGGATACAGCCTGAAAAAGATTTCAATGCTTGTTGAAAGCCGTGCAAATGTACAAAGTGACTACAGTGCAGCAAAGGATGCTCGTACATTCCGCAGTGTGTATGAAGCCAGGTGGAATGAGCTGATATCAGCTGCATCACTAAGAACCCTTCAGGAGTCCAAGTGGAATACTCCTCAGCTGCTTCCATTCACGAAAGATGTTCAGACTCTCCATTCCTTTTTAGATGCACAGCAAGAAGAACTTTTCAGCCAGCTATCCTCAGAGACGTCCCCCCAGACCTGGGCACAGCTGACAAAAGTCATTTTGACTAAAGTCATTTTGTTCAACCGTCGAAGATCTGGGGAAGTGTCAAAAATTCCAGTTTCTGCTTATTTGTCACACAATCCATCAGACCCACAGGAGGAAGTGAATTTAGCTCTCTCAGACCTAAAGAAGAAGCTCTGCCAGCATTTCCGAAGGATTGAAATAAGAGGTAAAAGAGGGCGAAAAGTTCCTGTACTTTTGACCCCACCAGTGCAAGCAGCATTGGATCTGCTCATCAGAAAAAGACAGGAATGTGGGGTTCTCCCAGAGAACACATACCTGTTTGCACGACCAACAACTCTTATCTGCTATCGTGGATCTGACTGTTTGCGACACTTTGCCAAGGTCTGCGGCGCAAAAAACCCTGAAAGTCTGACTTCAACAAAATTACGCAAACAAACTGGGACCCTGTCACAAGTCCTTAACCTCACAAACACAGAGCTTGATCAACTAGCAGATTTTCTTGGACATGATATTAGAGTGCACAGACAGTTTTACAGACTTCCGGAGGGCACTCTACAACTGGCTAAAATCAGCAAGGTTCTCATGGCTCTGGAGCAGGGGTGTCTGGCAGAGTTCAAGGGGAAGTCCCTGGATGACATTTGTATTGATCCTGAAGGTACTAAATATTTAATTGTTCTACAGAATAAAAAAACAGTTGGTATTTTTTGAGTGTGTGAGGATCAAGTGATGCATTTTCCACTTAGTCAGTTTCCTTCCTCTCCTCTTTCAATCGTCCACAGAGAATGTACACCTAGACAGCGACCAGGAAAGAGACCCTGAGGCACCATGTGACCCTGAAGCAGATGATGAGTCAGACTCACCAGGTAAGCCCCTCAGCCACAATATAATCCTTAAATGTGTCCATTGTCACTAATCCATGGATAACCACAATTGTATTGGCTAATTTTGAGTTTATTCTGATATTGATATTATTAAAATATTGCTCAAATATGTATGTAAGAAATTTTAATGAAGGCCATGTTTGGAGAGTGGCACCATTTTCATAAGTTTGCCTGACAGTGGATTTGAGGCAAAACCATTAAGATGTGATTTAACCCTTAAATGACCCTTGGACATTTTTCAATCAGTCAATCTTTATTTGTATTGTGCCAATTCATAAAAAATGTTATCTCAAGACACTTTACAACAGAGCAGCTGAAGACAAACTCCTCAGACCGACTCTTCATGATATGGATACACATATATGCATAGATAGTCAGAACTCTGAGATTAAATAGTCAGAATTATGTGGGGAAAAAGTCAATTATGAGATTCTGAGCATTAAATCAGAATTAGCAGAGAAAAATGTCAAAATTTTGAGATTCTGAAGACCGAATTCTGAGGAAAATTCAGAATTCTGTGAAAAAAAGTCTGAATTCTGAGATTCTTAGTTTCAAAGTTCAAATTCTATGAACAAAAGTCAGAATTAAAGTTACAATTCTGATTTAAAACTCAGAACTGATTTTTATTAATTAATCCTCCGTCATGTAGATGGGATAAAAATTCTTGGGTTGGATTTTCATGCTGAAAGTTGGGATTTTGACGTCAGACCTTCAAACAACCCCCCTTGCCAAAAATCACATGCCTGTAACCTTTTGTAGGACTCTCTCTAGAAAATTGAAAATTGTGTCTATTGAAGGGTCATTAATGGGATAAAAATGCATCACAGGGTCAAATAATGGATTTTCATGCTAAAAGTATTTATCATCAAATTTTTCCCCAAAGTACCCCCCCTTGCCGAAAGTCAGCTCCCTGTGACCATTTATAGGACACTTTATTGAAAATGGACATTTTTGTCCACTTGAAGGGTCATTAATCAGATAAAAAGGAATTCTGGGACCAAATAATGGATTTCCATGCTGAAAGTTGGGTTTTTGAACATTTTACCTAAAATTACCCCCCCTTGCCAACCCCCCCCCCCCCCCCCCCAGTATTTGTTGGACACTTTCTAGAAAATTGACTTTTTTCTCGATTGCATTAATGGGATAAAAATGAATTATGGGGGGTCAAGTGATAGAGTTTTATACAGAAAGTTGATTTGGATGAAATTTCATCCAGAATGACCCCCTCATCAAAAAATGGGGGGGGGAAGGTGGATAATGGGATAAAATGAATTTCAGGGTCAATTATTAGATTTTCATGCTAAAAGCTGGGAGTTTGGCATTAGACCTAAAATCAACCCACTTGCCAACCCCCCCTACATTTTCAGAGTTTCAACTGTAATTGGACATACCATCAGTTTATAAATATAAGAATTAATTTTGATGGTTAGTAGTCAATGACTGCTTTAAGTCTGGATCCCAGGAACAGAGGTGCTTAGGCAGGCTTTTACAGCAACCATCTTCAACATTTACTTGTTCGTAGGTCTTTCTACCTGTAAGGTTTGTTTTCAGTCATGAAAAATATTCTTGAGGTCAGCTGACTGACTTGATGATCGTGCTGTGATTAAAAAATATTGACACACATTGGACTCTGCCAGAAGTCTGGAAACCTTCTGCAGTTTGAGTGGCTGCTGTGCAGCAAAATTCAGTTTATGCGCAAAGCATTTTACATGAGGGAACTGCCCAACTTTAGCTGCATGTATCATTTTAGAAGTCCAGCTGTCCATCACCAGCATGACGTCTTTATTTCTTAGATGCCAGTAGCCCCACCAGATTTGCACCTGTGTGACTCTCATAAACAGCTCTCGTCGGCATCACATAAAAAATCTGCTAGTCCTCGCTCATATAATGTGATAGACATGTTTCCTTCAGATACTTCATACATTAAAAGTGAATGGACATGGATGGTTCACTGAGGAATACAACTGCGTGGCAGTAATTCCATTTTTCCCCCCTCTGGCTTTCAGAGAATGCAACCACAACAGAGGACAGTGAGACAATTGGGCCAGATGTGAGACACACAGTCAACAATGCAGCACCACAGCAAGATACTGTGACGACTCCACAGGCCAGAGATCATCAGAAACCTGTGAAACGGTTAAAAGGTAAACTTTTGTCAAATTTAGATTTCAAGATTGGCTGATTTCAAGATCAAAAATGAAAGGTAATGAGAGCCACTTGTTTGTGTTGTGTGTTGATGCACAGGACGACAACCTAGCAAGAGAAAGACGTGGGAGAAAGAGGAGATTGCTGCTGTCGAAAGGCACATGATGTCCTTCATCACAACATGCCGTGTTCCAGGAAAAAGTGACTGTGATAAGTGCCTTAGCGCAGAGAAGAACGCTCTTAGGGACAGAAATTGGCTAGCCATTAAATTTTACATCAAAAACCGCATCACAGCCTTGAAGAGGACAATGTAAAATGTAAAGTTCAAAACTAGTAGACAAATGTTATTTGTCAATTTGTTTTTTTGTTTATTTAGAAACAAGCTCACAAAAAGTTGGCTGTTCAGTTATTTGACAGGTTCAAATATCTCACTTGAGTTTGATTCAGTCAGTAAAATTGACTTTGGTTTACCAACATAACCGTTATGTTGTTACATTTACTAACATGTTGATTAGTAATCAGCAATCTCTGTGAGAGGTTGAAGAATCTGACCAGGTTTTTTTGTTTGTTTTTTTTATGCAATAAAACCTCTCAGTGACGTGACCTATATCTTGTGGTAATGCAGACCTTATTTGTAATCCAGTTAACACTAGGTTTATATGATAATGGGGCTATCAAGCAGTTAAATAAGTCTGTGATGGCAGACTCTACAAAGTAAGTTAAACCTGAGGGTGTGCTAAGTGGTCCTAACAAAGACAGAAAAACCAGAAGTGTGTATATTGTGACCCCATTAATTACTATAAACCTGACAAGTCCCCATTAGGCTGTCCCTGGTCAGGTGAAAGACTCTACTTTGTCTGATTGACAATTTGAAGTGATATGTGTTTTTCTGGCTGCTCCAAGAAACTGCCTGATTTTTTTCAGCGCTGTAGCACCTGCAGAAAGGGTGGTTCCCAGATTGCATGTCCACGTCTTGTGTCCCTACAATGTGATAAAGACAAGTATGTGTGTGTGTGTGTGTGTGTGTGTGTGTGTGTTTGTGTCTGTGTGTGTGTTTGTTTGTGTTGACGGGTGGGTGGGCGGGGGGTTTGAATCCCCTGTGTGTAGTACTTTGTGATACAAGCCATGTACGAAAAGTGCTTCATAAATAAAGTGATTGATTGATTGATCACTGGTGTAAGCGGCGGTGGCAGAGACACTGATGCACTTCTGTCGGATACGGAGCAGAATAGTAACAATCAGTCCTTGTTTTGCTTATCTTGTAAAATCTGAGAGTCAATTTAATCAGTGATAGTAGGCCTATTGTCTATTACAACTAATTAGGCTGAAAAATTTTACACAGGTATAATTTTTTTCCTCATCCATTTCCTATATTTTTTTTTTTGCCCCAATGATCTTAGAGCCAGGCACCAGCAGCATGGCAGCCAGGTCTCCTTCAGTGGTGACGGTCCCATCAAGCCAGACCCAGTAGCGATATTTTTTTATTCTTGAAGGATGGTCAAGGAGGGTCCCGCCTCCTTTGCCTCTGATTGGCTAGAAGTGCTGGGCCCCGATTGGTTATTCCTTATGGCTGTGAAACTCATCTCTGGTGGTGAGTTGGAGCTTTATACAAGCTGTGAACCCCCTCTCCTCCATTGGTGTGTGCATACACAATAAATGGCAGTAGCCCTCAGGCAAAAGTTGCTATATTTAAATAAATAAAATATAATGTAAGTAAATCAACCATGTCATTTTAAAAGCACAACTCTTTATTTGCATTTTAGCAGAAAAATTTATTTCATTTAGGGATTAATACATATGTAGCCCTTATTATCCTAGGTAATAGGATGGCTATGAGTTCTTTATAGGATCCCTGATGTTTTCAGATAAATTACTCCAACTATGAATTTGTGTGCAACCAACTTGTATTTTAAAACAACTGAGGCAGACAATAACACATGAATTTTATAGATATTTTAGTTAGAAAGATGAGTTAGGGAACAGAAATTTGTTTTAGGAAAAAAAAAAGAATAACATAAAAGGAAATCTGTTTTTATCAAACAATGAAATAAAGTGCAAAACAAAATAAATTGCCCTATCTAGAGGCAAAACTGTCGCTGGTGACTTTTAACTAACAACACGGTTATTGATCAATCGATCATGTAACCTTCAGATTATGAAATATTTTAAACTTAGAAATGTCTTCAACTATGTTCACCTTTAAATGATCAAATATCAATAATGAATTGAGTACCTTAAAACAAGTAACACTTTCAGTTATCAAAATAGCAAACACCCATGAATTGAATACCTTTGGCCAAATAGTTCAAATATGATGATACCAAAAGTGCACTGTAGTTTATTTGTTTTTTAACCTAAGCTGGCATCCAAATGAAAAAACAAAGCAAAACACAACCCCACCCTATGTTGCAGGCCTGTTCCGTTGTAGTCCACAAGATGGCGTCCTTGGCAATGGGAAAAGCTTACTCACAGTCAGACGATCTTCTTGTTATAAAGTTCCAAGCTTCACACAGATCCAACAAACGAGCACAAAGTTGTCCAAACTGATCCACAGTCTCCTTGCAGGGAAAAAAAAGTTCTGGTAATCCTCTCTGATCACGAAGTCCACATCCTTACACTCAAACAGCAGCTGGCTGTGTTAGCAACACACTGTACTGCAGGCAAACTCTGTCTAGCTAGCCTGTTAGCGATAGCGCTGACTCCAGTCTTTTCTAATGACGCAGCTAGCTTAGCGAGCTAACTACTACTCTTCACTGCAAAACGACACTGCCCAGGCTTGTTGACTGATATCGCCGCTCCACCGACTTCTCTCACAATCACACCAGCGATATTTCACCACTGATAACTATAAGAATGTCCAATATCGAATCGTTTGTCACGCTCCTGTTTCAATGTCCTTTCATTCATTCACTTATCACTCATTCCTATCTCCTTGCGTACATGGAACTGCATACACCATTCTCTCCCGCTCCCGATCACATGACCCATTCTCTCACTGCTCATTCGCTCTCCAACTACAGGTACCAAACTACATCCCCGCTACAAATAAATCCCAGAAAATAATAAAAATAAAACTCACAGATTAATACAGTACTTTAACTACATAAAACGCTTTTAAAGGTAGACTTAGGTAAATAACTTAACCATTTCTTTTCACCATACAATGTACCAGTACTCATCACAAAATAAGAACTTCTTTTACAAATCCCAAAATAACAAAACCATCACATTTTAAATAATGATCCTTTCATCAACCCAAAATAATAAACAGGGTTACCGGGCTACACATATTAACATAACTAACAATGCACCATCAACAGGAAGACTAATCTTAACTTTTTAATACCTGTATCAATAACTATGCCAGAATCAAACACATATGTTTTGATATTAGCAGCCTATAAAGATGTGGAATTGGTAACAATCTGACTGCACTGACTCACTGTAACTTCTATTTTCTTTCTTCCACTCAGCAAGATTTACAATTGCGGTAGAGCCGGCAGCCCGCACTGGCGCGCTCGGCTTGAGCAATTCAGTAAAGGCATAACTAATTTATTAAATTTATTTTAATTTAATTTATTAATCTTGAATAAAATCTGACTGCCTGTCCTTAATGACAGGTTTGAGGTTTGTTTATTAGTTATTTTGAGACAGACATTTGCTGCACTGCAAATCTGCACTTACTCAAACTTGCGTACACGATGTGAGACCTATCATGAGATTTGATCATGTCGTACGCTCACGTCCAAATTAATAAATTCCAGTCCTTGCATGGAAATGGTTGTATGGACAGTTTTCTGCTGCACATTCATTTGATAATTGAGGGCCACTGTGTTTGCTGTCGGAGAAAAGACTGAGTGAGATATAACAAACTTTTAAGCCATTACTCTGAATACTCATTCATACTATTGACAAGTACCTCAAACAACCCCCACTTTTAGATAGTTGAAAACAACTGTGCTTAGATAGACTGCACCTGTGGGAGGTGGTGTTTGATGAGACTGCAGTTCTGCTATGACCAGAATGTAGGAGACCAGCCTAGTTGTTGTTTGTCAAAAGTCACCCCATCACACCACTGTTTAATGCCCTGCTGGGGCTGCATCTGGTGTCAGGGGACACAGACAATCTCCATCATGTGGGGACTAAATTCCTAATGTGTGTACCAAGAGCAAAGCGATGTAGAGAGTCTATTAAAATCCATGTCATATCACACCACCCACCCCAATATCACTCACAATTTTATATTTAGTGAGTGGTCACGGGTAATGTGCCGGATAGAAGACAAAACTGAAGAGAGGGGTTGTTTTTTTCTGGGCAAAAGGATTTTTTTTCAGAGACATTTTTAAATCCTCCAAGGCTACTACTGTTTCAGTGATGGGAGGGGTGAGCAAGGGAGCTTTTCAGTCTACAATCTGCCCTCTCCATATTCATAAATATTTCCAGTATTACTTGCTTTACCATGTTTTACTTTTGACTTTGTTCTGTCCGAAAGGACGCCATATCCTGTTAACACCCATTCAGAAGAGCTTTTGAGTGGAGTCTGTCATTTGGATATTTTTTCCCCCTTTTTTTTCTTTTCCTAAAAAAGACAAAAAAAAAAACATCTAGAGTAGGGATAAGTTCTAAAGTTGCATGGTGATCTAAGATCTGTACAATCACATGCATAAACCTGGATGAACACCTTGTATGGAGTCATGATCAGGGACTTGTCCAGATAACCAGATAGAAATAATTCCACTGAAGAAGGACCTTGAAAGGCCCAGTTAGTAAGACATAAATGATAGATGTTACCATTGGTAGAGTGCAGTGAGGGATGATGGTAAGGGAGAGGCTGTGTGATCTTTTCGCAGCTTTACTTTAGCTCTCAGACATTCATCACAACGATCAACGGGGTGTCTGGCAGCAGGATACAGAAGCAACGTGTCCCACAGTCTGTGATTCCTTTAGATGGAGATGATTGTGGAGAGCCAAAATGTACAAAAAAGCTAGATTTAAAAAGTAGATGCCTAAACATGGACTATATATTCACAAAATCTTCCAGCGAGTGTAAATTTGCAGGTCTTTGGAAATGAGGCTTATATCAAACAGTTCAGCACAGAAACTGATGGCTTTTTTTTTTTTTTTTTTTTTTTTTAAAGTTGATTGTCTTTTTTTTCCTAATTGGATTTTGTTTTCAATTTGCATTGTTCCACTTGAGAGCGTGGGTGAACCCTTTCTGTCCACTTTTTTAAAAGGTAACTCTGAGTGGTCTCTGAGGTAATTACTGCCTGTTTTATGTGGAGAAAATAAAACCTCTTCACACTGCACCAGGAGCCTCAATTTTTGTTTTCCCTGGAAACATGAATGATTAAATCTTTTGTCTTTCAAACATCTGATTAAACAGAAGCTCTTTAAGATTAATTAATACAGCTGTGTTCACAAGCTGTGGAAAAAAATATATTATGATAAATTTCAGAGGTCCCACTTCCATGCAGCATCACCCTGTGGGCTCTAAATTTAGTTTAGCAGGAAGAAATATGATTCATTGAAACTTCAACTTTGCTGGGATCATTCGGCTTTAGAAAATACATTCCCTGCATTTTGCTCACGTTTAATGGAAGAAAAAAATTTGATACCTGCTCATACAAACTTGAATTACAATGTTACCACGTCATTTGGAGGACACTTTTATCCAAAGCAATGTACATATGAGAACAACACAAGCAAAGATCTAGACAAGAGGAAACAAGATCAGTAAGAGCAATTAGTGCTTCAAGTCCAATTAGACACAGGTACTGCCATGCAGTTTAAAAGGCAATGCACAACACTGAGTAAAAAATGGTTAAAAAAGGAAAAATCTCATTTGTCTCTTCCTCCCTCCCTCTCAGTTGGATAGGTTGCTAAAAGAACTTAAGCTCCAGTGAAGTTTGATGACCTTGGCATATAAGCCATCTGAAAATACATGTGTTATGATTTAGCCAAGTAACAAAAGAAAAACTGTGTCCTGAGGTCTTGATCAAAATGTACATCAGAATTAAAATTCAAAATAGTGTTGTGTCGTTCATGAATGTTTCGTTCAAAAGTACAAAACTGCTGAGTGAACGACGTAAATGGAATCACTTCGAGACCTGATTCGTTCCTTTCTCAGTTCAGTTGAGCTCAGCTGTGAGCCTGGAGTGCCAGTAGGGAGTGGAACATCCGCCTTTGACTCTACAGCAAACGACACACAGCCAGCCAGCCAGCGGGCGGAGTCTCATGATTTGCTCACAGCGAATGAACGACATGTATCTGTCAGACTGTGAACAAAATGAACAATTCTGAAGGACTTGATGCAGGCAGAGGAGGGAGGGGTGGAGCGTCGTTTACGAACTGCCTGACACCAGGTCGTTCACTGTGAGGATGACTGTAGGCTAAGATAAAACAGTGCTTTATAGTGCCTTTACATTAATACATGTGAATAAACTTTACTGTAAGAAGGATTTAATTTCAGCCAATTTAAAGCAATATGCTATTTGATATCTTTAAAAGTAGCAGAATCCCCGCTACAGCTGCAATGTTTATTTATTTTTAATCTCTCCACTTTTCTGTGATATAAAAGGATGATGACTTGCGCTCAATTAGCGGGCATGTTGCTTGCTGCTGTGTTGTTTCCACCGATGAGAACACACAGAGAGGTGAGTTTTTCAGGACAGGGAAGTGACTCTTTCTTCAGGACTTGGCAGCTGAACGACATGTGTCACACAGTGTGCGATGCTGTGACTTCAGCAGCAGGGTAGGGGAGGGGCTGGTTCAATGAACCAACTTGCGGCTGTGTCACTCACTGGTGTACTGCACCAGCAGGACGAGGCTCTGAAGTACTGACTGATTCAGTGAACGAATCTTTAGAATCCGTTTATTAAAATGATTCATTCAAAAGATTCAATACAGTTAAAGTTCACCTCTTGAATATATGACAGCTTGAAGTGTATACCAGTCATTCAAAAAGACTGGCTACATCCATGATGCTATGAGCTCTGTGCTAATGCTCAGTTTGTAGAGCTAATAGACGTACAACTTGGTTTAGGTTAATTCAATTCACCATCTATCAATCAATATCATAACCCAGTATCTGTGTCTTTTTAACGGTTCATTACAAATCCTCCCTAAAACATATTAATGTCTAAGATGACCATGTATATTAGGTTTTAATGTGTGTGAAATAATGAATCTGTACACGACGTTAACCCTAATATTTACCTTTTGGAAGTAAAATCCTCTCACATCTTTGAATCTAAAATTGTTGATTTTTACAAACACTTAGAGCATATTTTCACTCTCTTTCCAACCTGTATCCAGAGCTAATTTGGACATATATTTGATTTTGTGTTATTGGCCACACATTTACACCCAAAACTCACAAAAGTGACAGTTTGATTTATCTAACTCTCTGAAGTGAATCATTGATTTAAAGGATTTCATTAGACCTGTTTGTTTCATTTGAAAGAGTAGAAGTATTCCTGAATAACTCCCTGAATAATGAGGGTTTCCTGATACAAAAAAATGAGTATATGACAAAACTCTAGTTCTTTCATTTATTTATCTCTTTGTTTGTATATTTACAAAAATAACATTTTCAGGCCAGCCTTGTAAGCTGGTCCTGATTTTAATGTTTAGGGTGTAAGCTTCTGGTTTGACTGCCGCAAACCAGCCGAACCCAGAATGGAGGGGAGCCAACATCCCTGTCAGCTGAAGCCTTCTCTTTCTCCTCCTTCTTCTCCTTCTCCTCCGTCTTCAGCTTACTCTCGTTCTTTATGTGAAAAAAATGACAAACAATTAGTACAGAAATATCAACTCTAAATATCCAAAAACATCAAGTCTGGACCACTGCAGCATATTTCCTTCATGAACCACCAAACAATTCACAAATAAATGTGTCCTTACCTTTGAGAACGGATTGCTGAGGAATTTCCTGAGCCGCTTGCTCTTCTTTGGTTTTGGCTTTTTCTGGACCCTCAGCATCTGGCTCAATGTAGTCCACAGAGGTCTTCGACCTTGACTTTTGTGGATTGGTATCAGTGACTGTGATACTCTATGAAGTTTTGCTTCGGCATGGCAAAAAGGTTTCATTTTTCTCCAGCTGAGTAGAAGTGGTCACAACGTCTTCTTCACTGGAGGTGCCGCTCTGTTTGTGCTCTGCTTCACTGCTGTCAGACTGGACCTCATTCATATTTTTGAGAGGGGCTGGCTGGATTCTCTTTCTTCACGGTAGCTACACAGGAAGCCTGATAACTAACAAAGAGGTTGCATTTTCACGCACTTGAACAGATATACACAGACTCAGACAAATTTAACAGCAACAAATAAAAAGCACGAGGGTTATTTTTGAACCACGCTGCGTGCTAGCTAAAAGTGTAAGCTAACATTAACTTACCCTCACTCCAGCGCACACGTCGTACTTTTTCAATCCAAGAAGTCCGTTAAAAAACAGCTTGCCGAAGAAACGGGAAAACTCGAACAACAACGTCACTTCGTCTGTTCCTCAGGAGGAGAGACACGTGCACAGTCATGGAGGCATGCCTCGTGAGCGACGGAGCGACGTAAGTTTTCCCGCTCCGTCTGCAGCACAGGACAAAAAAAAAGCTTGGTCTGCAGGTGGCGGAGAGGCATTCGTGCCGTGTGCAAACAGCTCGCCGAAGAAAAAATGGAAAACTCGTAGTAAACCACCAATAAAATGACAACAATGTCGCTTCGTCTGTTCGTCAGGAGGAGAGACACGGGTGCACAGCATGCACATTCACGGAGACAGGTATCCCATCATGCCTCGTTCCCGCTACGTCTGCGGCACAGGATAAACAAACGCAAACGCTACACGGTTCAGAATGAAAAAACTAGAGCTGAAAAAACTTCAGCTGGCTGCCCAGGCCCAGGCTCAATACAGGCCTGCCTTGGATAATATAGTCAAATCTGACACCTACATATATGTCAGATTATATAGTCAGATTTGTAATATAATATTTATTATATACTATGTTCAGTATGTGTGTGTGTAATATTATCTTTATTTTTCTAAAATAGCCTATATAAATATTTATTTATTTATTTATTTATTGACAATAAACTGATTTCTGAACCAAAATGACAATATAACAAATTATGCTAAATGGCAGCCCAGACTTAATTTTTTAAAAAATAATAACAACTTATAGAAAATGAGTTAGTGGAATGAAACAGAATTACATCACCAATACTTAAATGCTCCCAAACTTTGAGTGCACCCAAATCAACTGAGTTGTTACATCAACATTTCATTTTTGAGCTATATTAATTCATGGAAATGAGTGACTGTAACTTTTTTCAGAGTTTGAGTTACGTTAACTTTGTTCATTCATTAACATGTACTGTTAGGTTTTACAGTGCATGCACCTCTGTAAAAAACTGTAAAACCCGATGAGTTAGTTGAACTCAAACCATTTGAGGAAACTGATTGCCTTGAACCATTTAAGTTGGCAAACTTAAATCAAATATTTATCTGTAGTTGAATTTTTAAGTTCAAGTAACTCAAGTATTTATTGTTACTCTACCTTAGGTAAATTAAGTTGAATGTACCAGTTTACTCAGTTCAATGAACTTAAAACTAATTAGTATATTTCACTTGTATGTAACAGTTATATAAACTAATTTAAAATGTGTTAATTGAATTGATCAGAATTAAATACTAGTAACTTAAATGGCTCTTTTTTAATAAATGTTACCATCTAAGTTGAAACTACTCTGTTTTCTTTCACTAAATGTATTACTACATTCTAGTTCTGACAACTCATTTCATTTGAGGAAACCGATTGCCTTGAATAATTTAAGTTCTATTAACATAATACAAACTCAAAATGTGTAACTTAAAAGTTTTATTAAATTGAATGCTTAACACCCAAAATACAATAAAAACTGAAAAACAGCCTCTGGGGCTCAGATCAATCACCTTATCTTAACAGTGGAAAATGGTGACGCTTGCATATAAAATTATTAAGCCTCTCTGGGGCTCAGATCACGGTGGAGTATCATCCCATAGAACTGGTGACACCATACAAATATGCACAGTAAAATGATTAACCATAACTACACCAAACACTTGTTTCAATAAATCAACTGGCCAGCCACATGGTATTTTGTTTAGAAACTGCTGACAACAAATGCAAGTTTACCTTAGAACTTCACTCCAGCTCATTTTCTAAGGCCTGTATAGGTCTAAGCTGTTTCCTCCCATCATTCAGGTCAAGGAGGATAACCTGAATGAACTCCAAAAAGCTACTGAGCTTTTCCAGGTACATAAGTCTTTTAACAGAAAAAAGAAATCACTTCCAATGAGCAATATGTTTCTCATCTCTTCAAACTCAGGCAAGGCAGCACATGTCCAAGTACAATAAAAATAAATAAAAAATACAATATCCATACAAATATGCCTGCCACAAAAGTTGTGCCTTGAATGGTTGCCTGTTTTGTGCCATATACACTGCTGCTGTCTGATGCTTGACACTATGGATGTGTATCAACAGGCAATGTTTCAATAAAGAAAGACTCCATGTTTTAAGTCTGTACTGGTGGCTTGAAAAATCTCTGTGATGACAGATAGAATGCCATCATGTTTTGGTGTCTCTCGGCCAATGTTTTCAATACATTTTTGTAGATGTGAGTGTCACAAACAACCCTCCTGTTGTCCTTCTGGGTAAAGGAAGGACAAAGGAGAAAAAGGAAGGAAAGGAGGGAGGGAAAACAGATTGTGGAAAGAAGGAATGGAAAAAGAAAGGATAGAAAGTTAAGCAGTTTGTGAAGCACAAAGGTAAGGAACGAAGGAAAGGAAAAAGGGTTGTGGAATGAAGGGAAATAGGAAGAATAGAGGGAAGGAACAGATAGACCCAAAAGGACAACAGGAGGGTTTAAAAAACCTTGTACTTCCCTCTCATGGTCCAGAGATGCACCTGATGCTTTGGTCGCAGTCTTAAGTTGGGGAAGACTTCCTGAAGGAGTTGCCTGTGATCTAAAATCTTGCTCGCCATTTATGGCATTATCTGTGAAACTATGAAAAACAGCAAGCTCAAATATATCCTTCAATCCACCAATTGTTCCTCCTATCCCAATAGAACTGGTGACACCATACAAATATGTACAGTAAAATGATTAACCATAACTACATTTAACACTTTCAATAAATCAACTGGCCAGCCACATGGTATTTTGTTTAGAAACTGCTGACAACAAATGCAAGTTTACATTAGAACTTCACTCCAGCTCATTTTTTAAGGCCTGTAGTTTAGGTCTAAGCTGCTTCCTCCCATCATCCAGGTCAAGGAGGATAACCTGAATGAACTCGAAGAAACCACTGAGCTTTTCTGGGTACTTCAAATGCAGTGCATACACCAATGCAAACAAAATCACCAGCGAATCGGTCCATGATCTATGTGACATGACAACCATATCTTCAAGAACAATGGATACATGCTGGGTTTCGAAGGGAACTTGAAGCACCTCCTCCTCATTCACCACTGCCACCAGAGCCACTGTTCCCTCCTGATCGGCTTCTGAGTCATCCTAAAAATAAAAAATAAAAAGGAGAAAGGAACGTCTAAGTATAATTCTACAAATCAAGCTTATTTGTCTGATGATGAACACCAATAACATTATGGATTCTGAAGATGGCCTGAATCAGCAGCCCAAGGAGCAGACTGTAGGCCTCCAAGTGGAGGGCATGACATTGGTGTTCTTTCCCACTGTTCGTCTGATGGAGGACAAACCATCTCTTCAGTCAGATAAACTAAACAAAGTCATACTACCCAGGTAGATGACAAAATATTGAACACTGGTGCTTACGAAAAGCTGTTTATAAACAGCTTTTCGTAAGCACCTATTAGCTGGTTTCAATGTCTGAGCCCACCATACCTAACTTGACTGCTTAAACAAGCTTGGAGTAAAGTGATTTGATTCTGTCCAACTTTAAAAGAACTGCTCTAGCCTGGCTGGGCCATCCTGTTGTGTGAATCACTTGACGTTCCTTCCCACAACAGTCTGGACTTCGGCCCATTGGGAGCGTGTATTCCCGATCAGAAAATAACCGGGCCAATCAGAGACCGTGTTTTCACTGTTACCCGGACAACAGGGAAAGGCAGCCCCTGATTGGTCCATGTACTACTGTAACCAATCACCGTAACCAAGCATCTGTGATGATGTCAGATGCTTGGTTACGGTGATTGGTTACAGTAGTCTGTCTATCAAGGAAAGTATTCCCGCCCACTTTCAGGGCTTCCAATGGGCCGAAGTCCAGACTGTGGTGGGAAGGAACGTCAAGTGATTCACGCAACAGGATGGCCCAGCCAGGCTAGCTCTTCCCATCACTAACTCAAAAGCGCAAATCTTGTAAGAACAAGATGGGCTGCAGTTTTATCTCTTGATTTGGGTCTTTGTAAATATCAAAACAAAGAGTAAGGTCGAGCCCAGCTCTCTTTGTTAAGTGTTTTGATATAACATTCATTATGAATTGGCACTTTAAAGGTTGTTTTATAATATGCTAATTACAGCCAAAGACTGGGTCCAAATAATCCAGGCTATAAAATAGGGGAGGATATATTTTGGTGTTTGATTGAATGTGTTTTTGATTCGTTTAGAAAGGATATTAAATAGGAGCAATTCTGCTCAATGGACAAATCTTCACATTTACTCCAGGTTCTGGTAAAAAGTGAGAAAAAATCACTGGCTACTGAGGATTTGGTACACTGAAAGTTCTGGTTGTGATGTGTTTTTATTTTATTTTGGTGTGTGTGTGTGTGTGTGTGTGTGTGTGTCACATTCAGAACAAACTTTTCCGTGGGTGCACTTCAAAGTAATACAGCCTTTTTTGAACTGAGGCAGACAGGGCGAGGCTGTAACATAGTTACAGCTTTGGCAGCAAAAGGTCCTCTCATCTGTCTTTCTGATATCCAAACAGAGGCCAGGCTTTTTAGCATCTAAAGTCTAAAAGGGGCAACATAATGGGACACATTCCTGCTTATTACTGGAAGCATCATAGTGCGAGCGCAATTGGCCTTACAGTAAACACACTGGCGATCAATGGAGATGTATTTCATGAATGGGGAGAGGAACAACAGAGCCTTAGACAGATCATCCCACTCGGCACAAATGCAATCTCCTCTCTAATGCTCCAGCACAGGGGGACATATGCAGCATTTGCTAGCTCTGAGAGAGCTTTGGGCAGGAGCCCAGAAAGGGCCTGTCACATACAAGTGTGTACTGGGAGCGGGTTGAGAGTCAGAGAATGAAAAAGGATTTATACTTTGAACCAATGGGAAAGGGCCAATTGAAACACTGAATAAGTGACTTTTCACAAGGGAAATACTGTGCAGGCTGGAAAAGAGGTAATCCCTATCCCCAGAAGACACACAAAGACAGGAGACATGAAATAAAGATGGGTGAGGGACAGTAAGATAGGCAGGAGCTAAGAAAGACAGATGAAGGAGATTGGAGAGGAGAAGAGCAGCTCAAGGGGGTGACAGAGATGAAAGTGGGGGACAGCAGAGATGGGAGGCAGGCTGAAGAACAATACAAATGTCCCAGAAGCAATTTAAATGTTTATCACCTTAATTAAAATTGTTTTTGAATTAATTGGGTGAAGGTTTAGCTCTGGCGGGGCCACCTTGAATGATTACACTCCATGTAATTACAGCGGCCACCCAGCGAGAGTGTGGGTGTGCATCAACAGTCACATGTTGGTGGGTCTGCCTTTGAAGACTTGTGTGTATGTTATAATTGTCCACTGTGATTCTAATGAGGAAGCCAGTCATTGATTACCCGAGGCTGTGAAAGTCATCCACAACACTTGTCAGTGACTAACAAGCAGGATAAATACTACTGCATGGTAAACACAACCATCTACGTTCTGAACTCAGCTTTGCACACAAACATCCCCAC